TATCTATCTATCTATCTTAATGGTTTTGGCTCTGTCTATCCATCCATAATCTATAAATATGATTAATAGTCTTTCTTTATACCATTTCATTCCCATAAATGTGGGTTTCTTTTGGCCCTGCAGCTCATTTTTGAGTTTTTAACCTTTTTTTTTTTTTAAATAAACGTTTCTTACAAAGCACTTTTACTCTCTGCCCTTCAACCCAGACTAAGATGTCTTTATATTTTCTATTATTTCTGTCTTGTGTTGTGTTTTTCTTCGCCTCAGGCTGACTTCCTGTAATTGTATGTTTAGCTTTTTTTGGTGGACGTTGTTTTTAAAGCGCTCACACGTGAGCGTGCCCTCCAGTCTGCTCTGTCGTTCAAACAATAACACCTTTCTATACTTTTCTAGTGTTTCCTGGTCTGCAGGATCACATTTCCACATCAAAAAGTCCTTTTGAGGCTTATTTTCTTGAACTTGTTGTTGTCTCTGGTTGATTTCTGTCTTAGTTGTTTGACTTACTCTGTTTTTTTTGGCCTGGTTCTGTGTCAGTTTTCCTCAGATATCTCTTCATCTCTCACCTAAACCCACGACCCCCAGTTTCCCTTATATCTCTAAAGGTTTTTTAACCTGAAGTTTCCTTCTCGGTTTCCCTGCTTTTCCAAACATGGACACACACAAAAAGGCTGAACGGGGACTGAAGCTTCACATTAGCCCCAAAGGAGAGTGAGGTTGACCCCTCTACCAGGTTATTTTACGCCAGAGTCAGCCTCAAATACACCTCTGGAATATGGACGGAGGTTAGAATAAGTTCTGTCCCCACGTGGGGGCGGAATAAAAACACCCGGCTGGAGGAGCTCGGGTGATAAAAAGCTTAGCCGAGGAGCCAAAAACTGCTCTGACCTGACCACATTTTGGTGAAACCACAGATACTTTGTGATTTCATCTTCTGAAGATGAAATCAGGAGAATTTTGAGCGCCCCCTGAACACATACTCAGGGTTTTAATAATGAGATATGGAGGAAAATGTACTCTTTCCCGCCTTTTTCCGCATTTATACTGACAGCTTCAAAAACTCTGGTTTTATGTCGTTAAATAAGACATCAGAAATCCCAAACAGACCAGAGAAGGACTCAGAGTGAACATTTTGTTAGACAGCTCCAGGACAAATGAAGTCCCAGATTCTTTGGAGGTAATTAAAGACCACATCTGTCCACATAAACAAACCCCCTGTCCCTGTCCACCGCCTCCCCGCCACACTGTCTTGTTGTACGAATTTGGTTTCTGCTGAACCAGGTGGGTCTAACTCACCAAGAAATGAGAAATAAGAGCAAAAAAAACCCATTCTGGTAGGATATTAAACTGGAAATGTGTTTCATTTTCAGCCTTTTTGCCCAACACCCTGCACATCCAAAGCAGATGCTGTGGAAATAACCCCAAATCTAACACAATAGAGGCCCAAACGGCTGGTGACCCAGACCGGTGGATCCAAACAAGGAGGCCTCTTCACGATTTAAAGAATCAACAAGGAGTAAACACACGATTAGAAACTAAGAGCTGCTCAAAAAGCACCATAACGAGTTTTTTTCAGCTCCAAACGTCTGCACACTTATTGTTACTGAATAATAAATCTACTTTTTAAAAGTTTCTGACAATAAACTCAATATGTGACGGTCAGTTTTAGCAGGAAAAGAGTCCAAATTAGAGGGCTGGACACTTCTGGCTGAGACTTTTCTGTAGGAGTCGGGTCTGAGGAGGCGGCCTGTTGGTGGAACGGCCGGAGGCCTGTTGGTGGCATTTTGTGGCGTTTTGTGGCGTTTTGTGGCGTTTTGTGGCGTTTTGTGGCGCTCAGCTTTACCTGCCGCTGCGATGGGAGTACTTGTTTCCCCGGAAGTTGGGCCTGGGCTGCAGCTGTCCCTGATGGAGGAGGGAGAGGAGCTGGGAGATCTGCTGTGGGGGGGGGGGGGAGCAGAAGGGGGAACAGGGATGAAGCTCAGACACACGCAACCAACCATACAGATATCAAATGAAGCTTTTAGATCAGAGCGATGTGCAGCCAAGCCTTCTGCTTGTGCTTTCTACACCAGACTTCAACATCATGTTGGAAATTTACATCGAGTGTCGAGTTGAATATTTGAGCGTATTTCCCTTTGGATGTTGGAAAATTCGTATGTTTAGGCGATCGGAAGTAGAACTTCTGCTGTTTTCATTGTTTCAGAAGGGGGCCAAATGTTAGCAGCTATCTGGTTCAGACTCCTCCGTTTAGTCTGTCAGGACCGTGGAAACACTCAGGTGGAAAAGTGAGTTTTTTTCTCTGTGTGGGTGTGTGTTTTTGTGTGTTTGGTTTCTCCTCCTGTGGGGTTTTTTGGCGTTGGCGTTCCAGTGTGAGAGCCTGACCGGTGCGTCCGCCTCCTGCCCACGGCTCTGGTCACACAGCGGATGCATGCATTAGCAGAGGTGAACCTTTGTGTGTGTGTGTGTGTGTGTGTGTGTGTGTGTGCGCAGGCTAATTTATGTCTGTTTCTGCTGTGTGTTTTTTCTGAACGTGCACGCCTCTGCGGCCTCAGGAAACGGCCCCTGCGTAAAAGCCTATTCTTCTTTCTCTGGGCGGCTTCCTTCCAGGATGGACGAAATATGGATGTGTGTGTCTGTGTGTGTGTGTGTGTGTGTCTGTGTGTGTGTTGAGGTGAGTTAGAGCCCCCTCCCTCCGGCCGTCCAGCAGGCCTCTTCCTCTGTGACCTCGAGGGAGGAGAGAAACATCTGAAGCTCGATGAGTGCCAACTGGGCCGACTGGGAGGTGTGTGTGTGTGTGTGTGTGTGTGTGTGTGTGTGTGGGTGGGTGGGTGGGGGAGATGGGGGGGCAGGCTGGGCACAAACCAGCGAGGCCTCTTCCTCTGCTTAATGGGATTCACGTGAGGGGCTGCGACTTTGGCCCCGGACCACGGCGGCGGCCTGCGTTTCATCAGAGCTGCATTTCTTCAGCTTCCAGATGAATTCGTCACAAAAACTTCTCAAAACGAGGAACATGTGTGGCGAGGGGAGCTCGACGGGCTGCGAAAGCACATAAAACTCTGCGCCAAACTCTGTCTATTCCCTTTAAGTTGTCCTCAAACAGCCATCAATGGCATACCGAGGCAATTTGGAGCCTTCTTACACTTTATTGCATTGAATTTCTATTTATTTTAAACACAACTGCGGTTGTAATCAGACCACAATATGTAACACTTTAATAATTCCCTGTCTGAGTCGATATTTCTGTGAGTTAAGTCTTTTCTAAAGTGTGTCCTCCACATAAATGTTTCTGTCTCTAATAGCAGGCTGCTCACTGTTACTGTTTCATTAGTTTTGTGGTCTTTACTTTAACCTCAGACATCCAAATAAGGATCAGAACAAGCTCTTCGAATTTGACCAGTCGCATTCAGATTAGGCGCTTTATTTTCTTAATTTCTTTGCTAAGTTAATTAAGTTTATTTGTCTATTATAACTATAAAAAGTGAAAAAAAAGCCTTTTCTGTCCTTTGGATATATGTGTCTGTGTGTAGCTGCTAAAATGATATTGCTTCAGAAATATTTGACAGCAAAATCAATATATTTTAGCTAAAACAAGCTAAGGCTAATCACTACACTCAAGCTAGTCCGACCTATGATAAATATGAATAAAACATTTTTTTTTCGGAAAATAAAACCTGGAAATTTTGATGCTTCAGTATCTCTGATCAATCAATTTTATCAATTTTACCGTGTTGACGGTGCACAGTAACAGAAATATAACAGAAAAGGGGGTTAGTTCAGAGGTGTGCTAAAAGCTAAATGGCTAGGCTAGCTTATAGCTTTATTTATATCTAACATCTTGGAAAATATCTCATTTTAAAAGAAATCTGCATCTTTTACAGTCCTTTCTTCAGTGACTTCTACTGGAGGAGGGCAGAAACATCCAGAACGTGCACTTAATTTAATATTGAATTATTAAAAGAAAGCCCCATTAATATCCTAAAACAGCAGATACTGCCGTTTTCAACATACTCCTCAATATTTTAGGGACTTTTCTTGAAACAAGGGGAAAATCCACATAAATAAGCAGCTCATGGTAATAATAAACTCGACTGTTAGTTCAGGTTTCTGTGTTTCGCAGCCTTTGAACCAACACCAGCTTTGTTTAGCAAAAGGGATTTGTTAGTGTTGTGAAGGTCCCAGTTATTTTTAGCCTGTTTCATCGTGGTTAAATCTGCCTGGATTCGGTTTCTGCAGCTGACGGACGGCTTCGGTGTCCCGCTCTGCTCTCTGAGCTGCTGTTTTTTTCTGCCTCATTTGTTTTTCCTCCCTCCTGCCGCGGCTCGGCTCAGTAAAAGTGATTTTCGGGGCCATTTATCAGTGACAGAGCCGAGCGTCAGGGCGGTGTTAGCTTACACTCCAAACACATCACAGCTTACTTTGGCTGCTCTGAACCCCACTCAGCCTCACCCTCCTCCTCCTCCTCCTCCTCACCCTCCTCCTCCTCCTCACCCTCCTCACCCTCCTCCTCCTCCTCAGACATCCCATCCGACATGAATAAGAGCAGCTCACCTCCTCCTTTCTCCTCCTCTCCTGGTTTCTAAATGAATCTGATATGTGATATTGAGTTAAGATTAAAAAAAAAAAGACTGTCAGAGTTTCTCTGGGGGGGATTTTTCCCTGTGACACACGAGCACCTGAATCAGCTCGCTGTTTTTCAGCTTCATACTGATCCATCAGCAACTCAGACCCACTTCACACACACACACACACACACACACACACAAACATACCTCCACGCAGCTCCAGCCTTCAGGCTGTCTGAGTAAGTCATCATGCAGAAGGCAAAAAAAGCAGAAAAGGCTGCTGGGAGTCTGTAAGTGAAGCCGCTCTGTGTGTGTGTGTGTGTGTGTGTGTGTGTGTGTGTGTGTGTGTTGGTGAGGAGGAGGAGGAGAAGGAACCTTCATCTCTACTCTCTAATGGACTTCACTTCAGATTAATCTCAAAGCCTGCGGGGAGGACACTTAATTACACCGACGCTAACTGTAAGCACATGTTGAAATAAATGTGATCACACATTTCAGATCTGAGTAAATGGCATTTAAATGAGAGCCAGCAGCAGCGAATTAGCCTTAATGTTTAAGCTATAGAGGAGAATGTAAATAAGAGTGCATTAAAAAACCATCATGCAGATTAGTGAAGTCGTTAATGTCATGCAAATGGGAACATTTGTCAGCCCAGCCTGCAGTAATGTTGGTATGTTCCGCCATGAACGCAACATATAAACTTGATTAATTTAGGTCTTAAGGAGTTTTAATGCATGTTGCATCAAAAGTTTGTTACAAAACATTAAAAGTTTGTTGCATTTCAATTTCTGAGATGTGCCTTCATCACCAGGGGTCTTGATTTATTCTTTTAGTCATTGTTATTGAAACATAGACGTTAAAATACCACCCCAAGATACTTGTATTTGCTATGAATCGATCAAAATGGAGAGAGACATGTATGCAAAAATAGACAACCTCCAAATGCAATTTAAATTAGCCCCCAAGATCCTTGTATTTGCTACGAATAGATCAAAATGGACAGAGATATGTATGCAAAAATACCCAAACCACTAATGGGACATGTTCAATTTACAGTACCTCCCCACGATCCTTGTATTTGCTAAGAATCTATCAAAATAGGGAGAGATATGTATGCATAAATACCCAAATGCCTAATGGGACATGTGAAGTCTGGAGAATGTAGGAGGGAGCTCAGGGATCAGGACTCACCTGCACCTCTGGTGAGGCCGAGGAAAGCTCGATGGAGTCTCCAAAAGCCGCCATGGAGAGACGCACCAGGCTCCGAAGCAGCTGCTGGTGTTCGGCGTCGTGCGCCGCCCGGCCCTCCGACGTCTTCGGCCTCCTGAGAGTCGCCTGAGACGCCGAACGAGGTGGCCCCCTGTCCTCTCCCTGACCCTGGAGCTTGTGACGCCTCAAGGTGCTCGAATGGGACACCGACGAGGAGGATGAAGGGTTTCTGGATTTGCGAAGGGTCTGGTACGACGCGGCTGGCGTCAGAGGTAAAGTCCCGTCGATTTCGATGTTTCCCGGCTTCCGGAGGGTTTTGCAGTGATGGCCGACAGCCTGGGAGGCGTCTCCCTCCAGGTAGCCGCCGGAGCAGAGGCCTGTGCTCATAACGGATGGTATGAAGTTGTACTCTCTCTCGGTTTGCTGGTCCTCCAAAACCTGAGGTGGAGTCAGTGGCTGGACCTCGCTGTCGTCCTGGGCCGGCTCTTCCTTCCTCCCTCGGATGACGGGGACGAGCTGGATGTCGGACTTCCTGATGTTCCTCTGTGGCCGCCGGGGGTGGCGGGTGTAGCTGGACTCGGCCTGCCTGCAGTTGTAGGCCCTGCTGTCCCGTTTGTCGGGCCGGCAGAAGGTCGTCACCAAGGCGATGGCCAACAGGAGCAGCAGGCAGGTGGCGCCCAAGCAGATCACGATCATCATGGTGAAACTGAGCTGCCCTCGGGCTCCGGGAGAGGAGTTCTTCAGATGGTCCTGCAGGTTGATGAAAGCCACCTCCAGAGTCACCTTGGAGGCCAAACTGGGAGTTCCCTTGTCGGACACAACGAGTTCCATCTGAAAGCTTCTCCCTATGAGCTCAGTGGCGTTACTGGTGTTAACAAACAGCTGCCCGGTAGCCTCATCCAACCAGAAGAGGTCGACAGGGGTTTCACCCGAAATCCGGTACTGGAGCTCACCGTTGAGTCCTGAGTCCTTGTCCTCCGCTTTTATTGTGGACGCCAGGAAACCGACGACTGTGCCCGACCGATCTAAGGGCAAAACTGAGGACTCATCCTCTTCCTCCTTGCCCAGCTCTGTCACGATCTCCCCCTTGTATGCGTTGACCGGTACGCTAACATGAGCCACGCCCTTTCTTGGCTTTGGCTCTGTAATCACTGGAGGATTGTCGTTTGTATCCTCAATCTTGACCTTTACGGTGGCTGTGCCGGTCAGTCTGGGATGGCCATGGTCCACGGCCTCGACAGTGAAAGTGTACATCTGTGTCTCCTCAAAGTCGAGTTGTCGCTGGACGCTTACGACGCCGGTTCTCGGGTGGACAGTAAAGAGCTGTGTTTGGGTTTTGGGGTCGTTGGGGCCAACAATGACGTAGGAGACTCTCCCGTTCAGCTCCAGGTCGTCGTCGTGGGCCTCGACTTGGAGAACCTCTTGGCCCACAAAGTTGTTCTCCTTGATGGAAGCCGTGAAGACGGATGCGGAGAAAACGGGGCTGTTGTCGTTCACATCCAGAACAGAAACAGTCAGGCGTTCGGTGGAAGACAGCGAGGGGGTTCCCATATCCCTAGCGACGAGCGTGATGTTATAATGCGAAACCTTCTCTCTATCCAAGCTGCCGCTGGTTACAATCTTATAATTGTCTCCATACATGTGTTTGAGGCTGAAAGGCAGAGACTCTTCACGAATGAGAGCTCTCACTTCCCCATTTTTCCCCGAATCTGCGTCGTAAACCGTCACCAGAGCCAGGAAAGTGTCAATCGGCGCCATCTCCAGCACGCCGGCGGCGGCCGGGGACGTCCAGGTGGTGCGGATCCTGGGCGCGTTGTCGTTCACGTCTGTGAGCCGGACGTGCAGTTTGCAGTGCGAGGCGATTGCGTTGGGACCCCGATCGACGGCCTGGACGATAACCTCATAAGAGGAATGGACTTCATAGTCCAGAGGGGCCCTCACGGTCACGTCCCCGCTTTGCGGATCCACTCGGAAGAGCTTCCGGACCTCTGGGCGCGTGTGCTTGCTGAATGAGTACTCCACCTCCCCGTTGGCGCCCTGGTCGGGGTCGGTGGCCTTGAGCCTGATGACTGTTGTCCCCCGAGCTGTGTCCTCGGGCAGAGTCACTGTAGGACTGCTGTCCTCGAACCGGGGGCTGTTGTCGTTTGAGTCCTGGACTTTAATGTGGACTAATGTGGTCCCAGACTGTGGCGGGTCTCCTTTATCCCACGCCACCAGTGTGAGCTCAAAGGAGTCCTGGATCTCCCTGTCCAGGCCTTTGATGACTACCAGCTCGGCCTGCTTCGCCCCCCCCGGGGCGGCCACCACATCCAGAGCAAAGTGCGGGTTGATGGACAGCGAGTAGGTCTGGAGGCCGTTGGGCCCCGCGTCCGGATCCACTGCTCGGTCCAAAGGGATCCGCATCTGGAGGCCGGCGGTCTCTGAGATCTCCACTTCCTGCCGCGCGCTGGGGAAGCTGGGACTGTGGTCGTTCAGGTCCTTCACCTCCACCCGGACCCGCATGCAGTTCACGGCGCCGCTCTTCCTGTAGAGCACGCTGAAGGCCACCTGGCAGAGGTCCGAGCCGGGGCACAGCTCCTCCCTGTCCAGCCGGCCCTGGGTGGACACCACCCCGTCCCGGGCGCTGACAGAGAAAGGAAGGGCCATCCCCTGCTCCACAGCCTCGAAGTCCTCCAGAGGGCCGCCCTCGTCCCTCTGTCGCAGGTCGTCCAGCAGTCGGCCCACCCGGGTTCCCGCCGGCTGCTCCTCCCAGACCTGGTACTGGACGGTTACCGGTGGGGACTCAGAGGCCAGAGCCCCCGAGCCAAGACCCACAGCCAGAAGCAGAACCAGCAGCATCACGGCGTCAAACAACAATCCCATTTTTCCGGCTAAACCGCCATTATTTGCTTTGTTTTTGCCAGCGATCAGGAAAAAAAAAGGAGGACACGACTTTGTATTTCCGGTCAGTTCAAGCCAATTGCAAAATGAATACCCCAAAATAAACCGAACAAAGGTGGAATCCCAGAGGCCTTGAATTAAAACGTCATCCTTTCTTTGCCCTGGAACCTCCAGCCTCAGCCTGTCTCGCCCTGCTCAGCCGCTGGCCTCCTGCCTCTCACTTCATCCCCTTCCACTTAAAGAGTTTGGCTCCGACTGGGAAAGTTTGGATGTGGGTGTCCGCATGCCGGCAGAGCTCCGGCCAATCCGCACGCGGGGGGGGCGGGTCGCATGCAAATGAGGTCCCTCCTGCCCCGAGGAGAGTGTGGAGAGCTTTCACAGAAACCTGACCCTGCCTCTCCATCAGCCCCCCCCCCCCCCCCCCCCCCCCCCCCCCCCCC